TGGAAGTGGCTCTGTGGTTCAGCCTTGAGCTGAGAGCTCAGGGACAGTGCCAAGGCCCAGAGTTCAAGCCCCATGGCTGACAAAAATAAAAACAAACAAACAAAAAACATAGTGTTGAGAATGTGGTTTAGTGGTGGAGTGCTTGCCTAGCATGCATGAAGCCCTGGGATCCATTCCTCAGTACCACAAAAACAGAAAAAGCCGGATGTGGTGCTGTGGCTCAAGTGATAGAGTGCTAGACTTGAGCAAAAAAAGCTCAGGGACCAAAAAAACAAAACAAAAACCCAAACCAAACCAAACCAAACGAAAGCTCAGGGATCAAGCTCTGAGTTCAAGCCCCTGGACTGGCAAAAAGCAAAATAAAACAATAACGACAACAAAAGCCCATGGAGCCAGGCACTGGTGGCTCAGGCCTGTAATCCAGCTACTCAGGAGGCTGAGATCTGATGATTTCAGTTTGAAGCCAACCTGGGCAGAAAAATCTCTGAGACTCTTATCTCCAATAAAACTATTCAGAAAAAGCCAGAAGTGGTGTTGTGGCTCAAATGGTAGAGCACTAGCCTTGTGTAAAAGGAGCTTAGGGACAGTGCCCAGGTCCTGAGTTCAAGCCCCAGTACCCAAACAAAACAAAACAAAAACCCAAAATCCAAAAAACTAAAACCTAGACAGAGTGACTCATGCCTAATTTTAGCTACTCAGGAGGCTGCCATTGGGAGTACTGCAGTTAGAGGCTAGCCCAGATAAAAAATGTTTGCCACACTCTATTCTCAACCAATCAAAAGCTGACCCTGATTGTATGTGCCTGTCATCCAGCCACCAGGCAGGATCACAGTCCAGATCAGCCTGGGAAACAAGCAAGTTCCTATTTGAAAAAAAAAAGCAAAAAAGGTTTGAGGTGGATGTAGCTCAAGTGGTAAAACACCTGCCTAATAAGCTTGAGCCCTTGGATTCAATTCCTAGTACTAAAAAAAAAAATAACAACAGAAAAACCTATGAAATAAAAATCGGTCTGCATTTCATATATGTTTTCACCTATATATAGTGATACCATGGTCCAGCAGATTCGGAATTGTTGAAGGGAACCATTCACAAATCAAGAGAACTGTTGCTACTAGTGGCAGATTTTTCTGTCAGTGGTGATCAACTGTTAGTGAAGCTGTGAATTAAAAAAATCCTCTGTGTACATGTTAGTGAACATTTCTGGCAAATGGAGCCTAAGAAAATTAGTTGTTGCTAGACTCATAATTTATCTACATGAACAAATGTGATGGGTCTATTTGTATAAGGTTCAAAAACAGGACAAATATGCTGTTAGAACATACCACAGGTGAGAGCTGTGGATGTAGCTCAGTGCAGAGTGCTAAGGTCTTGTGCAGAATGCACAAGACCTTAATCTCCAGCAGTACAAAAGGAAAAAAACAAACAAACAACACCGTAGGTGTATTAGCGGAAGGAGGTACTAGAGTTTATTCAGTTTATGAAGACTGCTCAAACTCTATACCTCTGTGTATTTTTCATGTGTATGTTATTGTACAGTAGAGAGTTCTAAAAGAGTCATTGAGATCATTAGACCAGTCATTGCAAGACATCAAACATTCCTGGTGTCTATCTTTGAAATGCCAATAATATCCCTGAATCATTAGGACAACAATATGGCATCATGAATTCTATAATGTGGAATCCCTTGGTAAGTTGGGCCTCTAGAAACTTACCAGGTGTATGAATTTTAATTGGTCTTCCATTGGCTGCTTTTCAAAGCAGGGAGGAGGGAATGAAGTGTAGGTGTTGTTGGTAGTTCTAGTGGTGATGGTAGTTGTAGTGTTTTATGTGGTAGTGAGGATGGTGGTGATATTGGTGGTGGTGATGATGGTGAAAATGGTATTTGTGGTACTGATAATAGTGGTAAAGGTTGTGGTAATTATGTGATGGTACAGGTGGGGATGATGGTGGAGGTGGTGGTGATGATTATGGAGATAGTGGAGTGGTGATGCTGATGTAGGCTACAGTGGTGATGGGAGGGGGTGTGATGATGGTAGAGATTGTGATGATGGTGGAGGAAATGGTATTGAGGGTGGAGGTGGTGGTAATAGTGGAGGTGATGGTGGAGGTAGGATGGTGCTGATGGTGGAAATGGTGATGCTGGTGGAGGTGACCATGATGGTGAGATAATGGAATTGATAGTGATGGTGATGACATTGGAGGTGATTGTAGAGACGGTAGTGGTGGTGATGGTTGAGTAGATGACCATCTATGTCTGCCACAGCATGGTCCACATCCTCTCACATATAGCTCAGAGAGCTTGGCCTTACCCCTTATGTGTGAAGTGGTTTCTAAATATCTATAGGACTAAACACACCCAATTTATTTTATAGGCTAATTTTGAGGCTGCTTCCATCTTCACTGAACTGTTACCTTTTCCTTTCACTGAATATGTTCTGCTGTTCTGTAAAGCCCCACCTTCTGTTGAGAAAGCTCTGCTCCCCTCTCAAGTCCTGCTCTTCACTCAAAGAATGTACATAAAACAGCCCCTGCCCCAGCTTACTTCTTTGCCTGTGTTCCTATGGTGTGTTCCTTATGTCTCTCTTGAGCACTGCTTGGATTTTGTCTTCTGTGGTTAGTTGCACATGTCTTTTATAGCCTCCACAGTCTTAATGCAGGGATAAACACTGCATGGGTGCCCAGAAAGCCCTTGGCTGACTTAAACAGAGCAAGAAAGAATCTCTGGCTTTCACAGAATCGCTAATCCAATATACAAAATCTTTTTTTTGGGGGGGGAGGGGGGGGGGTCATTCATAGGGCTTGAACTCTGGGCCTGGGTGCTATCCCTGCACTCTTCAATTCAAGGCCAGTGCTCTACCACTTGAGCCACATCACCACTTCCGTTTTGCTGGTGGTTAAGTGGAGATAACTCTGCCCGGGTTGGCTTTGAACCATGATCCTCAGACCTCAGCCTCCTGAGTAGGTAGGATTACAGGCAGGAGCCACCAGTGCCTGGCTATCCAAAACCTTTTAACTGGTTGTGATCTACAGTTCTTTCTTTCCAGTCCTGGGGCTTGAACTCAGAGTCTGGGCAACTTTTACTCTACTACTTGAGCCACAGCACCACTTCTGGCTTTTTTGTTGATGTGGTACTAAGGAATTGAATCCAGGACTTCATACATACTAAGCAAGCCCTCTACCACTAAGCCACATTCCCAACCCCAGTTCTTTCTTTAGTTTGGATCCCAAGTGGCCCTTATATTTCCTGTGAAAACCTATTTCTTAGGGTGGTACTACTGAGAGGTGGTGAAACGGGGTCAAGTAGAAGGCCTTCAGGCATGCATGCGTGTGCGCACACCAGTCCTGGGGCTTGAACTCAGGGCCTGGGCACTGTCCCTGAGCTCTTTTGCTCAAGACTAGTGCTTGAGCCACAACGCCACTTCCATCTTTTTTTGGTGCTTAATTGGAGATAAAGAGTCTCAGAGACTTTCCTGCCTGGGTTGGCTTTGAACAATGCTCCTCAGATGTCAGCCTCTTAAGTAGCTAGGATTACAGGTGTGAGCCACCTGTGCCCAGCTAAGCATTTTCCTTTATTAGTGATCGTATATGCAGTGACATGTGTAGTGATAGAAGGTTGACCAATGTAGTTGTCATTTGGGTAATAGCCTTCCATCATTAATTGCAGAACTTCCTTCCCCTCATTGTACTAAGACAATATTCTAGACTGGGCCCAGGGAGGGAAATGAAGTGTGCTTGCCTTCCTCTAACCACGGAAATACCCACAAGTTCACCATCCTTGGGTCCTGTGAATCTCCGGTAAGGAGCAGGAAGAGGGTTGTGGTAACAAGTTGGCTTTAGCATGATCAAGACAGCTGGTGAGGCTGTGCAGTTCTTGAGTGTTTATTGCACCCTGACTGCAGGGGATCACCAGTATCAGTGGATGAGAATCCTGCACCTGTTTACTTGGGAAGGTAATATGTCCAGGTCCTAGCTGGTCTCAGTAGATCAGGGGTCACTCCTTTATATCAAACAGGCTGTGGCTCCCTCAGCCTAGGTGTTCCCCACTCTGGTCTTCCGTGGTTGCTGGCCCACTAATTTCTTGTGGACAAGGACTGCAATATTCACTTGAAGGAGCTCTCCTCACCCACCGTGGTCAGGCAAAAATGTGGGTCAAATTACTAGGCAATGTCCCTCCCTCTACCCCTTTCTCCGGGTAGAAAACCCCACCCCTCCTCAATCACCAGCCCAGCAGCCTCAGGCTCCTCCTCCACTAGGGGCCTCCGGCCGGCCCCCCTCCCCCGGGTTCGGAGGGTGTGACCGCTAGGGGCTCGGCCTCCCCAGCACATTCCCACCCTTCCTGCTGATCGCAGCACTCCCTCTAATGGCTAAAGCTTCCACGCAGGGTTCTGAGCTGGGTGGAGACAAAAAGCTGGGCGACCCCCCCTTCCGCCCCCCAACTCCCCGTGGCTTGGAGTTCTGCTGTTCCTGCTGTGGTTTCCTTAGATCCTGCCTTTGTTTTTTTTATCTTTATGACTCCTTCCCCTACACTCACCACCAGAAGCATTTTGGGGGCTTTGTAACCTCAACCCATTTCCAACATTTCAGATCAAGTCTCTCCCCTCTCCTACCCTCCCCCCGCACCCGCCCAGACTTTAAAACCGTTTGTGTGAATCAAAGTGAAAGAACGGAGCCTGGAAAATCTTATCAATAACAAATCTTACGCTCTAGAGATTGCACCCCCCCTCCCCCCAGCCAGTGAGTGGAAGGAGACAAAGTGGGGCTTGAATTTTTACGGGGAATTGCATTAAGAGCAAGAGCCAAGTCACTAGAACCTAAGAAACAGAGAGAGGCGGGTAAAAACAGCCACAGCGTTCTGTGATTTCCCCCTCTGCCCTCCCCACCCCCTTCCTTTCCCTCCCCTCTACCGCACAACTAACTCCGACGGGGGGGGGGGGGGGGGGGAGCTCTGCTGCAGTGGCACTGCCCACGCATACTCAAAAGAGATCCAGACCACGCCAGCCTTGCCACGAGGTGTGTTTTTATTTTCATTAATCATACAAATAATTTTCTATAACATCCCAGGGCAAACCGAGAATTTGGCAGTCCGATGGGGGTGGGGGGGGAGGGCGGGGAGTAGTGTCCCTTCAGAGACCCACAGGCCGATGGCATTGGCACGGAGTGCCCGGGGTTCACAGTGCAGGCTGGTGGCTCGTGTCCATTTTTCAGGTGGCTCTTCCTCCACATCACGAGGTGTCTCCGAGATGACGGGGGGGGGGAGGGGGGGCGGGGAGGTGGTGGTGATGGACCCTCTAGGTTCTTAGGAAATTTCACTCTGCTTTTCCTGTTCAATGGCTGCAGAGAGCGGGAAGCAGGCACTGGAGGATGAAGCCACTTGGCCACCGCCTCCCCCCCCCCCCCACCGAGGGAGCTCAAAAACCCGGCGTGGGCGAGGCACCCACGAAGGCTGGGGGCTGGGGAGACTCCGGGAGCTTTGTGCGACTGGAAAGAGTGTCTGGGGACGCCGGGGCCCGGGACCCCGGTGGGGTGGGGGTGGGGTGGAGGACCAGGCTGGCCGGGGAAGGGCGGGGTGGGGCGCCGGGCGGAGACCCGCGGCACCCGGAGCCGGGGCGCACTCACTCTCTTTGGTCGGCAGGGTGTTCTTCTCCTGTGTCTCGGTCTTCTTCAGCTTGGCCTTATCGAAGCTGGCGATTTCCCCCATGTCGGGCTTGTCTGCCATTTTCTTCCAACAGTTCTAGGGGGCAAAGCGAGGCGGTTGGCCCTGAGCCGGTGGCCAGCGCCCCGCACCCGGCACTTTTCGCCAACGCCTCTCGACGTGGCACTCTTTGCTGGGGCGTTCCCGGCCGTCCCGAGGCCGAGGACCGGGGTGCACCCCGCACCCCCCCCCTCCCGCACCCCAGGGCGTGGTCGGCCCGCGTCCCGCTCGGGGGCCACCGCGTGCAGGCATGCCGCACCAGCCCCAACCCCACCCCGCGGACCCGCGTCCCCGGGCGGCGCTCACCGCGGCCTCTCGCTCCGAGCCCGAGGTCTGGTGCTCCCACTCGCGTTGCAGCAGCAAGAGACAAAAGAGCGGCGCCCGCCCCTCGCCTTATATACGCCGCGCCCCGCCCGTTTCCCTCCTCCTCCCCTCCCCAGCGCAGCGGGGGCGGAGCCGGCACCGAGGGGGCGGGGCCAGCGCGGGCAGCTCCGCGCCGCGCCCTCCGCCCGCTGCCCCCGCCCCGGGCTGGGCGCCGCCCTTCCCGCCCCGCGCCCCCAAGCTAGCTGGGTTCCGGTGTGGGGGTGGCAGGCACGGGGCTGCGGGCTTTCTTTCGGGCTTGCCTGTCCCTCCTTCTCAAAAATCGGCTGTTCACGCGGGAGGAAGGGCGTGGGTGGAGGCGGGGACCGGTGTGAGGTTTTATTGTGTGTCTGTGGCTAGTGTGTGGGGGTGCGTGTGTGCGGGTGTGCATGCGCGCTCTGCAGCAGTCCTTGCTCGCGGGAGACACCCCACCCGTGTCGCCCCACGTCTCCGGCATTAGTCCTCCAGAGCCCTCTCTGTTCTCGGGCTCGGTGCTGCTTAAACATTGTTACAGGCAGTGTGTGAGGGCGGAGGCGGGAGCGCCGTGTCCCGGGAGGGCACGGGGAACATTGTATCCAAAGGGGCAGCTTTCCTCCTTGAGCTCACCTTGAAGATGATACAGAGACCCGAACGCCTGCAAATCTTGCTTAAGAGTCCATCCCTGAAGTGGTGTAAGGCGATCATTCAAATCTGTCCTAGAAAAGGTGTGTTTTCAGCCTGTGCAACACCTTTAAATAATGAAGTTCCATTATTTAACAGCCTCCAGGAAAAACCGGTCACCCATTCTTTTTTTTTTTCTGTCCTAAACTCCCATTCCTGTCATATCATGTAAGAAAAATTAGACTTCAGGGTCCTGAAGGCACACACACACACACACACACACACACACACACACACACGACCTTTAAAGATAATTAAAACCCTCATCAGGCAATACATTTCACTTTTTACTGATGCTGCAACACTGTGCCCATTTTCTGGTCTGCAGCTCTTCTCCATGCAATGACACTGGCACTCAGACCTCTCCTCTCTTGCTGCTCTGCCCTGCTTGGTTCTCCGTGAATGAGGAGAGAGGAGAGGATAAATGGTGACACTAGATCTTCAAGGACCGGACTTAGATATAGTCTCCTTTACTTCTGTTAGAATTTAGTCAGATGATCTTGCTTAACTGTAAACGAGTCTGAGAAATGTAGACTGGCTATGCCCAGGAGAAAAAGAAATCACGAGGGCTTGAAGCAGTCTCTGAAGTAGTCTCTGAAGTATCGGATAAATTTGGAGGTGACAGTATTCAGACATCCAGAGAAAGTGACTCTTGGGAGGGTTTCACTGGTACTTGATTGCTTTCAGATGTAGTGCCAACCATTATCTTGATATTCCTTTCCTGGGGACTACCTTTGGCCTGAGCATAGAAACATTTGATTGTCTGTGTTTGGGCCATAGTGAATTCTAATTCCAAGTTTACTTAGGAAACAAAGGAATCTGATTGTTCTAGATATAGTCATGGAGACACACATTTGGAGCAAGCATGTAGCATTCCCAAACAAAGGAGTTGTAAGCAAACCTGTAGACATTCCTGTCTCCTTCTGAGTGCAGCATTGTGATCCTGTCTCTGGTCAGCCTCTTTGGCATTTGTTGCTCAAGAACCATGGTCAGATATTTAGTGTCATCCAATCTCTTGAGCAGTGACTGTAAACATCTGTATATTCTTTGACACTTCTCCCTCCATTTCTTAAATAGAGATTGGTCTTAGTGACTTTGTTTTATTGACTAAAATGTGTCATCAGTGATACTTTGTGCCTTATGGTGGCCAGATCATAAAGACCACATGCCTGGAGATAGTTTCTCAGACAGGATGCCTTTAGGCTGTGAAGAAACCAAGCATCTGCAAGGGAAGGCCACGTGTCACATACTTCAGATCTCAGTAGAGACAAACTGTTCCTGCACTTGTTTGAAGTTACAGAGTTTCAGCATAGTTTGTTACATAGGACAGATGACCAGAATAGCATAAAACAGAAGAATGATAATAGGGTGGTACCAGGGTCTCAGGTCCTATTGGGAGTTTTTTTTTTCTAAATGTCTTCCATAATGTGTATATATGCTTATATAATATACATATGCATATGTATATAATATATATATATATATACACACATACACATGGGGCTGGGAAGGTGGCTCAGTGGTAGAGTGCTTGCCTTGCATGCCTGAGGCCCTGGGTTTGATTCCTCAGCACCACATATGCAGAAAAAAAAGCCGGAAGTGGCGCTATGGCTCAAGTGGTAGAGCACTAACCTTGAGCTAAAGAGCTGAGGGACAGCGCCTAGGCCCAGAGTTCAAGCCCCATGACCGGACCCCCCCAAAAAAGTATATATACACACATATACATACATACATACATACATACATATATATACACACACACACACATATACTTAGAGAAATGTTTGTGGACAAAGTAGCTGAGTGTGGAAGATAGAATGACTCAACCAATCGTGCTCACACTTTGTGTTTACTTATGATTCTGGATGTCATTCACATGTGACAGCATTCCATCTTGCTGCTTGGAACAGACTGTATGTGGTTCACAGATGGTATAGAGACAGCTGAATCACTCATCTCCAATTACATGTCTGGCTTTGTTGAAAAGAATGCTTTGGCAAGCATAGAACTAATAAGAAGGACCCGAGAGTGCTTTGATGACGTCAGCCCTGGTGGGTCTTTGGAGATTTGCATGGGGCTTCATTTCTCAGCCTTGTCCAGTCTGACATTTTTAATCAGAGACTAGAATGAGGATGGAGACTGAATACTGATTACATCACAAAGGATGCAGTTCTGAAAGTGTCAGAGCCAGCTAGAATGAGCGGAGGAATAAACAAAATATGTGAGGAACCCAGTAGGGACAGCTGTGGGGCCCTGTTGGCCTTAAGACAAAAATTACCAGTGCAAGGGTTCACGATATACAAAGTTGACTCTCAGATGGTGTGAGATCAGTGGCTGTGTGGTGAGAGAGAGAGAAAGAGAGAGAGAGAGAGGAGAGAGAGAGAGCCCAGCCCAGATTTCCTTTCAATGACAGGAAGCCATTCACCATGACTTTTCTGCTTCCTTTAGGAAGCTGCAGCAATTTCCTTTTCTTCAGAGAGCCAACATAGGCTACTCTTGTAGAGTCACACTGCTGTCTATCTCTTCACCAAGTTTCCTGTTTCTTCACTGAATTCACCTCTACGTAATATATATCCAAACATGCTATATTTGCATGTCCTCATTTCTGTACCCTGCCTTGAAAAATGAGACACCTCATCTGTCTTGTTTACCATGATATTTCCTTAGCTTTGTGCTCACAGAGTAACTGGCCAATCAGTACACATTGACAAATGTGCAGACATCCTCATCAAAATGGAATGAGCAGCTGGGAGCTGGTGGCTCACATTTGTAATCGTGGCTACCCAGGAAGCTAAGATCTGAGGATCTCAGTTCAGCCCAGGCAGGAAAGTGCACGAGGCTCTTTGCTCTAATTAACCAACACAAAGCAAGATGTAGGGGTGTGGTTCAAGTGGTAGCCTTGAATGAAAAAAGGCACAGTGCTTCTCCATCATTCTCTAATATATGCCCAGCATGGAAGCCTACCCTTCGTGTTTGGGCTGGTGTTCTGAAAACAGTGGAGAAATATGTATTTTTCTAGGTCTCTATCTGTAGTAATCTGCCTTCAAGATGACTTTCAGTGACTCCACCTTTCCTTCCTATGTATAGTGGCACTGAGGTGAATTCCTGCCCCCCCCCACGCCCCATTTATTTTGGCAAGTCAGTTAGTTGTCATGTTGTGAACAGCCCATTTAAAGAGGCCCATGTAGTAAAGAATGGAAGTATTTGGAGCTGGGAATGTGGCTTAGTGGTAGAGTGCTTGCCTAACATGACTGAAGCCTTGGGTTTGATTCCTTAATACCTCAAAAACAGAAAAAGCTGGAAGTGGCACTGTGGCTCAAGAAGTAGAGTGCTAGCCTTGAGTAAAAGAAGCTCAGGGACAGCCCACACCCCCCCCCCCTTCCACCCCCACCCCCAGTTCAAGCTCCAGGACTCACAACAAAAGAAAAAAAAAGGAAGACTTAGCAGATGCAAGTGGCTCCTATCTATAATCTTAGCTGCTTGGGAGACTGAGCTCAGGAGGATCATGGGTTGAGGTCAGACTGGGCAAAAAGTTAGTAAAACCTTCTTCTCAAAACTTTAGAATCACATACCTGTCATCCCATGCTGCATGGCAGGCTGAGATGGAGAGGATTGTAGTGCCAGGACAGCAAGACTTGGTCTTCACAGAAGGGAAGCTGAATGACATGGCCCAGGTCTGTGATGATAGGAAGCCTAAGGTAGATAAACTGAGGCTCTAGACACATGCCTGGATGGGAAAATGAAACTTTATTCTAGAAGATAGCCAGTGAAAAAAATAGAGCTGGAGGTATGGCATAGTGATATCACACCAGCCTTGCAAACAAAAGGTCCTAAGTTCAAACACTCAGAAGCACTAAAAAACCAAAACAACAACAACACACAACAAAGCTCCCTAAAATCTCTGGTGAGGAGATACGGGTGATCAAAAACCACATGAATGAGTTAGCCCCAGATGAGTCTTCAGATTGATGCAACCTTTGTAATAAGTCAACTGCAACTTCATGAGAGACCCTGAACAACTCAGGGCCTCAGCCAAAGGGGAGGTCTGAGTTCTGAGTTTAGAATTTCAGTGTGGGATGATGAAAAAGTTCTAGAGATGAGAAATTGTGATGGGTGCCCCACAGAGTGAGAATGAGCTTCATGTTATGGAACAGGCCATTCACAAGTGGCCCATCTGACTCACGGCTGTGAGCCTTGCTGCTTTAGAGTCAGAGATCAGGAAGGTAGAGGTTAAAGGCCACCTTGGGAAAAAAGATCTTGAGACTCCCATTTCAAGCAATGAAAGCTGACAACTCAGCGACTCCCAGGTCCTGGGAGATACACATGAAATTCTATTTGAAAAAATAACTAAAGCAAAAAAGGGCTTGAAGGTATGGCTCAAGTGGTAGAG